CTCTTTGGCGTCATTCTATAACAAATATCTTAACTATTTTTTAATAACTTTTTTTCAAAAAGATTACCAATTTTAAACAGGACCGAAGATTAACATAGTTTTCATTCCGATACTAATTCTATTAAAACAATGATACCAGTGAATATGGCAACGCTGCTAGTCTATGAAGCCCATGGTAAAAGGGTAGCTGCTGTTAAATTTGTTAATTCCTGTGTCGAAAAATAGGTAGTTGTTTTTGAACAGGTGCGAAATTATTGTAATCGTCTTAGTTTCTTTTTGAGGCATTGTTAGGTTTTTGTTTAATTTAGTTTTTAGTTAATTTATGAAATTAAAAATTCTGGAAGGCAAAAATGCACAGCTGACAAATTTCTATTTTATTTGTTTGCTGCCAGAGTTAGTAAATCCTACAGAAATACGACATGTGCCAATTAGGGAAAAGAGATTGTCAAGAATTTTGCCCGCTTAAAAAAATGTAATACATAGGGTGTTTCTAAATACATGCGACAAAATTCAGGAGCTGATTGCTCGTATGAAATTAAGATGGGTCTTTCCTATAACAAAATTTCCTCAGCCCACCCCTTTTCGAGATATCACCCTTAAAAGGTGGTGACTAAAATTGAGTTTCTATTTTTTTTTTTCTAAAATTTCAGTAAAGCTAGAAACTTGAAATTCTGTAATCGCAAAGGACTAACCACGGGTATTAAGCTATTGCATAGCTTTTATTTTTTCAATTTATAACTTGAAATCCTTGTTTTATTAATTTTTTTTTATTCTTAAATTTTTTTCCCAAAACCAATAGCTTCAGAGAAAAAAAATTAACACCTTAATTTATCATTTTTTTTAATAAATTGAGTGGAAAACAGTTTTTTTTTCTATGAAGGCATTGGCTTTGGGAATTTTTTTTTTTAAATAAAACAAGTATTTCAAGTTACAAAATTATTTCATAAAACTTCTTCTCAAAAAAAAGTTTTGATATGAAATAAAGTAAGGGTTGCTAATTTCACCCCCCTATAATGTAACAGGAATATTGAAAAAATAACTGTGGTTAGTCCTTTGCGAGTGCACGAAAATTACACACTAATGTCAATACACTTAAAAAAGTATTTGTAACCTCTATGTTTGGTGTGAGTAGCTAGGCTATCTTGAAACAAATCACTCTCAACTATGACTTGTTTATTCTCACTATCACATTTAACACTGATTGAACTTTTTTTAGATTGGACACAGAATCTTTATCCTGTGGTTTAAATCTTCTTCTTCTTCTTCTCTCAATATCTGATTTTGTAGTTTATCGAACAGAATCGTCAAACATTTACTTAAAAACTGGCAGACGAAATGTAAAAGAAGGGTCCTTTTTTTTGGGCTGCATTGAGGCACACAACAAGTGTGTTTTTCACTGATATTCCACTTATCAGGCCGAAATAAAACTTAAATTTAACTTTTAATGTTTTTTTCTTTATCCGTTTTTGAGTTTTCTTCAAAATTCGAAATTTACACATTTTCTCAAATATCTCGAAAACGGTCCATTTTAGAGAAATTATGTATAGAATAAAAATTATAGAGAATTATATTTCAAACTACTTTTATTTGAACAATTTTTATAAAAAATAATTTTTTTTACATTTTGTCAAATTTCTCGAATACGGACCATTTTAGAAAAATTGAGTATGGAACAAAAATTATAGATAATAATATTAGAAGTAAGTTTTATTTGAAGAATTTTCTCCTCCAAACGTAAATAACAGATATATTCCATAAAATATAAAAATGACCACCTATAAAGTACCCCCCAGATGTTCCGACTCTGCTCAAAATCTAATTATTTCATTGAAAGCTGAAATAAAGCTTAAGTTTACAATTTAGTGTTTTTCTGTGTATCGGTTCATGAGTTATGGTGGATACATACACACAGACACACACGGCAATTTTACCCTAAGCTCCCCCTAATTTACCCACCTAAGAAGATGAGTAAAAACTGGGGTTTAGTCCAATAAATGGAGCGCAAAAAGGTAAGTATTTGTACCAAATTTTACCTAATTATCTTTAAACGTTTAGAAAATATTTACAAAAGTGTAACAACCAGTTAGCCTAAAGACCAACGCTCGTCACCAAATGTAACAACCAGTTATGTCTAAAGACCATTTACAACTACTGATAGGTCTTTAGCTACTGTTACTATACTATTAAGGGATAAAGGCAGCGCTTGTCACCAGCCCTAGGGTCCTGGAGTCCTGAAGGAACATCCATTCGCCAGTGGCAAAATAAAATAATAAAAGAAAATAATAAAAATACAAAAAAACATCCCTTAATAGCATATGTCGAGCGGTTTTGGCAACTGACTTAAGACTCTCAAGTCCTTAAGGGTAGGAACGCCGAGGCTTAACATGCTCGGAATATTTCTTACTGGTTTTTGGAAAGAGGTGAGAATAAAATAGGTTAATAAACAATAACACGTATATTTAAATATAAGTAAAAAATGAATAACAAATTTCAATAAATCAAAACAATCTCTATTTTTGAAATAAGACATAGCAAAAATTACTATCCACAATTGTAAATCTTTATTATGATAAACCATGTTAATATAATATAATCTATGATAAAACCCCTTAAAACTGATAAACATTTAATAAGTAAACTTGGGACGAAAATGAAAGAATTGGCATTTGAAGAAAGACTAATGAACTGTTTTAAGATACATAACCCAAACAAGAGATTTAAACATGTTAAAATAAAATAGATATTACCTTTGAAACTAAAACACTACACACACACTTTACTATATATCATAAATACTAATAATTACTAAGTTACATTTTTGGGCATAGGTTTGGCCCAAAGGCCGCCCCTTGAGTCCTTTTTTTTCAATGATTGACTCTCTATTTATATCAACCTTAACGTGATTATTTTAAAAAGAAACTCGACTTATTTATTTTTAATGATTATTCGCACGATTTGTCCTTTAATTTTCTAGTACAATGAACTATTTCTAATTGTTTGGTTTTAATAAATATGTTGTGTTAATTTAATAGATATTAAAAATATTAGATATTTTTGGGATTTTTGTTAAATTCTTTATATTTTAAAAATAATAATGCCAATTATTACAAAAGTGTGGTATCAGGACTTCACCTTTAACACCCTGTATCTCGGAAAAGAAAAGTTTTCGGACCTATGTTTATATGAACTTTTACTACTATTTTAGGGTGTAGATTACGCTGTTAAAATATGACCGTCTAATTTCGGGACACCCTGTATATCATCTATAACTATCAATAAATAAAAAATATGTGAGTTGTTTGGTTTAAAAATAGTATTCCTACATTCTTATTAATATTAACAAGCCACTATACCCCCAGTAGGCGGCGAAAGTCAACGAATTACTTCGCCAATTGATGACATACCTGTGTTCATGTAATTGTAATCGGACCCTACCCAATATGATTATTCTTCAGCGCACGACACAGCTTTGCCAAATTTATGTAGCGAACAAGGTTCCAAATACTTTAAGGGGAGGTTGTGAGATCCGTGCGGTGTGACGTCAGAAGGGACTGGATTGCTCTTAAAGAAATGTAACACTATATAAGCTTATCTTGCAAATATACCAATACACATAGTTTTTCATTGTATAAAATATATATTTTCTTTACGGGCAAAATCATATAAGTCGAATACTTTTTAGTAGAATTCAATTATATTTAAATTAGAATACCATTTTTCTAAAGACTTTATAACAATCTCAATGCTACAAACTACTGACAAAATTTAGCAATATTTATTTTACAGATAAAATTTTATGTCCAAACTTCATATATTTATGACCAAATATGTAATTAGGTGGTATTTGCAATAAGGGCACGATTTATAATCTACAATAACATAATTAAAGGTTTGTTCCAACATAAACCAAATCAGTTTGCTTACTGTCAGGATTCTGCGTAGTCTAGAATTCGTGTTCCAACAAACCTTAGACTCAAAAATGTACAAAAACATAGTGTTCCAACACAACCAAAACTAATCACAAACCGATTTGTGTACTGTCAAATCAGTTCCTGGGTCTGAATAGGAACGAATTGTCAAGACATGCGCAAAGCCGCAATAAACTGAACATATCGTGATTGTAATTATATTATTTGTAACTATTGACTCTGACAGTTCTGATTTGTATTTGTTAGTCGAGTTTACTCATTATAGTTTTTGTCCATGATTATTTATTTTATTTTGTGGTTTGTTATTGTAATAATGCGTCTGTTGAATTTAAAAAATGTGTTCCAACACAATCGACTTCCGAGTTGAGTCCCAATCCTCGACCAGTACCTGACAAGTTGTCAATTACTAGTCATCGACAGATTGTCAACAATAAGTTTTGGACTGGTTTATGTATTGTTCCAAGATCGTTGTTGGAACAAACCTCAAGCAACCGATCTTTTTTGTCCAATGACATAATATCTAGTCTATTACTAAGTATATAAATTCGCCAAAGAATACTTGTAAATTCTGACTGATCTGGTTAGGAATAATAAATTACATTATTACATAGATATTATACTTGTTTATTCTACTTACCGATGATTTTGTAAAGGAATTTGAATTCCATCTTCAGCTTCGGTTTGCATAAAAGAGGCGACATTTTTTATAATCTTGACTATGGATAATTTTTCCTTTTAAACCAACAAGCTTTTTAGGAGGCATGGTTTTAGATTAAGTAAAATACACAACACTCACTTACAAACGTCTTAAAATAGTCCATAATCAAAAATATTTAACAAATAGGCGATTCCAAAAAAAATAACCTTAAATGTCAAACGCTAACGTCGCTAACAAATAAATAAATAAATAAATAAATGGCTACTGGCATAAAAATGTTCGCTCTACGCCAGTGCCGTAAACAAGACATAATTTGGTTTCTGCGACTGTCATTGTTACAACTTCAGCTGGGTTCTTCTCTCTTGAAAGGGAGTCTATTTATGAAATAATCCAATACTATTTTATTTTTTCAGAGATAGAGGTAGTCTTGTTAATCTTATTAGTCATTTAAATGACGGAGATTATAAAGTTAGTTCTGATTCAGCAGTAAATGAAGACAGTAATTCTTTGTCGGAAAAACCTGTTATTGATACAGGTCAGAAGGACGATGATCACAGTTTGAAGGACGATGAAAATAGTTTGAAGGACGATGAAAATAGTCTCAAGGATGATGAAAATGGACTGAAGGATGATGAAAAGGTAGAGAAGGTTGAAAAAAATGGTCAGAAGGGGGATCAAAGTGGACAGAAGGGTGATGAAAAGGGAGAGAAGGTTGAAGAAAATGGACAGAAGGGTGATGAAAATGGTCAGAAGGGTGATGAAAATGGTCAGAAGGGTGATGAAAACGGTCAGAAAGGTGATGAAAAGGTTCAGAAAAATGATGAAAATGATCAGAAAGATGATACAAATGATCAGAAGATTGATAAAAATGGGGACGAAGCCAGCGATTTAGAAAAACCAATAGAAGAAAAGAAAGAACCAGATCAACTTTCGAGGCCCATGTTAAGAATAAAAAATTTAAGCGAATTGATGGAAACGAGCAGAAAAAGACCTGCAGAGGATCAAGTAGTAGAAAAAGGAAAGCTGTTAAAAGTCGAACTAACCCCAATAGTGTCCAAAGAGATTAAAGAGCCAACTTTAATTGTTAAAGGACTTGGTTCAGGAGCTGAAAATGAATCTTTTAACGGACAATCAATTGAATTTAATCCAATTGTGGAAGATGCAATTGAAGAAAACGTACTATATTTTTACGGTGAAGGTAGTGGTGCTGATTGCCAAACGGGAAATGAAGAAAAATCTTCATCGGAAACTGTTGAAAATAAAACTAAAACAGAAAATGACAGTATTAGTACTAATTTAGGTGTAAATAAAGACAATATAGAAAATTTAAAAGAAGTTCCTGGTAAATTGAAAACTGTAGAAACCGATAGTAAGACTGACAATAATAGTAATAAATCTACGAATTCTGAGGAATTATCACAAGGATCCCTTGAAGAGGCATCAGAATCGCCAACAAGTTCATCTAAAAAAAGCACATTCTTTTTTGGTTCACCAGTAAAAAATACACTTCCCCTTTCCCTCACAGTTGGTTTTGGTCAAAATTATACTAAATCTGAAGAATCCGTTGAAGACATCAAGTCCAAAGAGCTAACTGAAAATAAAGAAGATTCTGAGAAAGTAGTAACTGAAAATATTAAAGATACTAAATCTGAATTGAACCATAACAAATTAGAGAAAACTGAATCTTCTAAACCTACAGAAAAATCCGAAGAAGCAGAAGTTTCAAAAGAAACTGACACTGAAAAAGAACCCGTTGTAGAAGAACTTTGTGTGAAAAAAGTGGCTTACGTATGTGGAAAAGATGATTCTGAAGATAAACAATTAACTAAACAAGATACTGTTGAATCTAAAGATTCCAGCAAAGAAGATGAATTAAAATCATCCTCAACCAGTTCTGATATTACTAAAACAACTTTACCTGAAAATGAAAGTTCCAAATCGGATACTAAAGAAGAAAAAACAGAAAAAGAAGAAACTACATTATCGAAAAAAACAGAAAAAGAAGAAACTACATTATCGAAAAAAACAGAAAAAGAAGAAACTACATTATCGAAAAAAACAGAAAAAGAAGAAACTACATTATCGAAAAAATCATTGAGATTGGTGAGAAGTAAAAAAGCCAATGCTGCAGTCGTTCAAACTGATGTACCGCCTGTTACGAAATCTGACAATCAAGACGTTGCAACTGAAGTAGTTTATGTTAAGAATCGTAGGGGCAGATTGAAGAAAAAGGACAGCGAAGAAAGTTCAGTTCCCATTGCTGTCAATAAGAAGCCAAAATTAGCAAAGGAAACCAAAAAACAAACAGGTACATTTTATTTTTTAATTATGTTTTAGACATTTCTAAATCATGTTAATACAGTTCATCAGTTAAGATGCAAAAATGACTAAATATCTAGTTATTTAACTCATATTATTTCATTTGTGTTTTTTTTGTATTAAAATATATTTTATTTAAGAGGAATATATACCACAACCCAATTTAGTCGGCAATAAGACCTGCAAATTTTAGAGAAAGATAAACCGATGATTTTCAATGAAATAATTTATATATTATTTTTAATACAAATCCTGATGCACGTCAGAGTTCATTAATGACGTCATGGCCTTGCAGTGTTGTCTAATCGACAGAATAGTTGAGGAATTTAGAAAGTTTTGAAATTGTAAGGTTATGTATTTGTTATGTTACTAGGAACAATAATTAGTTATAAATGTATGTAACTAATGGAAAATATTGAATTCCTTTATGCATAAAATAAACCTATGAATAAAACAGCTGTAAACATATTGCAAGTCATGGAAAATAAAACTGTAAGGTAGTATATTGCAGATGGATCAAAATTGGTCCAGAATTAGCACAGAAAATATCTCAAACTAACTTCATTTCAACAAGAAAGTAATTTAATTGATCTACATTTAAGTTACAAATCATAACAACCTATAAAATTAAAAATATTGAAAAAATGAAAACTACATCCTCCTATTTGGAGGAGTCATAATATCAGTAGATAGTAGATACCTATATTCAAAGAATTAAAGTTTGAAATTGCTGACATATTTGAAAACAAGAAGGAAATTGTTAAAATATTTGAGTAGGTACTTTAGTAAATCTCACTTTCATTAACGGATCTGTATCTCAAGTATTTAAGATAGCTAGAAATGCTTCAAAAATAGACTGATATCGCTGCTTCTTTTCAACTGTAAAGTTATTGAAACATGTATGAACAATCGATTCATCACTCAAACATCAAGATTCTCCATCCTACCGGTTTCAAAAGTCATTTGAAAAATGTTCTCAGTGGATTCTTTAGCAGTGTGAAACTGTGAAATATTCTACTTTTTGCTATAATATTTACTCTTATATTTGTTTATTGGTACTATTAGTCTTTTTCCAATCATTGTAAATATTAAATTGTATGACTCACATAGCGAAACCTCAGTCTAATCTTTTTTTTATTTTGGAGTAAATTAAATAAAAATACAGATATACAGTATGGTTCAAATGAAAGGAATAAATTCATTATAATGGAAGTAGTTTGTTTTTCGAAAAAATGCTCGGACAGGTCAATTTTGTTTACTCAAAGCGCAATTTTTTAAATAGAATTCAATTTTCCCCCACTTCCCGTTTTTGGGCAGTGACGTCATTGACAATTTTTTTAAAAAGTAACCCCAATTTTTTTTTCTTGATTTTGAAAGATTTTGCAATTTCCTACTCGGAAACATAATATTTGAAATATCCGACATAAATTTTTTTTTTGAATAAAAGTCATTTGAAGATCAGATACATAAATTTTATTTTATTTTGAAACACAATAAATAAAAGATTTTTTGTAATTAAGTGCTTCATCTAAAAAAATTATAATAATAATAATAATTTAATGCCAATTTCACAAATTCTTTTTTATTATTATTATTATTATTATTATTAATATTTTGTTAGATTAAGCACTTAATTACAAATAATTATCTTATATTCATTTATTGTGTTCTCAAAATGTGTCTGATCTTTAAATGACTTTTATTCAAAAAAAAAATGTTATGTAAGATATTTCAAATATGTTTCCGAGTAGGAAATTGCAAGATCTATCAAAATCAAGAAAAAAAAATTGGGGTTACCTTTTAAAAAAATTGTCAATGACGTCACTGCCCAAAAATGGGAAGTGGGGGAAAATTGAATTCTATTTAAAAAATTGCGTTTTGAGTAAACAAAATTGACCTGTCCGAGCATTTTTTCGAAAAACCAACTACTTCCATTATAATGAATTTATTCCTTTCATTTGAACCATACTGTATAAGAAATATATCAAAATATTGATTGGTTTAAAAATTAGACATTTTTTTTAATTATATTCTTTTTTCATAAGAAACAATTATTCATCTACTAATCTTCGTAATTCCAATTAAAATTCTATCATTTCTCCTAATCCATATCGCAAGTATTTGAATCACGGTCATCGATATCGCTGTTAGGGTTAATTATAATAAAAATAACTTCCAATCAAAAACTCCTCTGCCAATATTTTTATTATAATATTGCTTGGAAAGGTCCCTAATAAGTTCAATTGGGGTTAAAAACACAATGGCAGGGAAGAAGATGTAATACTTTATGTCTATATTGTTCTGCTTAATTATTTACTATATATTTCTTTGGTGCTTTGTACCCGAAACAAGAATGTTTTATTTATTTCTAGTTGCTATTTCATATAACATGTGTCAATATCGCTATATTCTAAATTGTAATATCGAAACAACACATTATATCAAAGATTTAATGGTAGGTACACTGTTATAGCAAATCTTGTAACTTCACTTTTAATTTTTTGATATTGTTTTAAAGTTTATTTCTGAAGAAAAAAAGGCATTTTTGATTTTCAATGTACATCTTGAGAATGTGTAAAACATGTAGATTTTTATTGACCCCTCTAATCAAATTTTTCCAATTTAATTGTCTTCGTATGTTTGCTAGAATAGCCTATCTACCATTAAATCTTTAATATGATCTGTCATTTCATTATTACAGTTTAGAATATAGCAATTTTGGCACATGATAACAGAAACAAAACATCCCTAACAAGTTTTTTACAAGATTCCCGATACCTTTATTTACTTCAAATTTGGGGACTTCTTGCCAATGATCCATTTAAAAAGATACATGTTTCATCAATGAAAACGAATTGCTTCTTTTGTATTTCTATAATTTCTTAAAAATTGAACTTTTTACGTCTTGGATATATTTTGTTCCTTCATTCTTTTAATACAGTTCACAATGATCCAATATAGCCATTAAACATTTGCTTCTTAGTCAACTTTTTTCTCAAAGGTTCCAAAGTTGTACGTTGACCTGCAAATAAGTATGTATTTATATTACTGTAGATAGGTATACAAATTGAAACTTTTATAGGTAATATTATGATTGGATAAATAGATTTGTTTTTATACTTATTGTTTCGTACATGTTATAAATATCAATTTGGATTCCACTCGTATCCAGTGTTATTGTATTATTAATCCTTTGTTTATGTAAATGCTTTTTAAGTAGCGATTTTAATCATTCATTATTCTTGACTGCTTGCGAAATACTACTAACAGTAGAAATATTTAGGTTTAGGGTTGCTGCAACACGCTAAAACAGACAAGAAATCAATTTCATATTTCTATACATTTTTAATAATTTTTAACTTACGTCTCATATAGCACTTAACAGAGTTGAAGGTAATAGTGATTAATCACGCTCTTGTTTAAAATACTGTATTAATCAAGCTACAGGCTCCCTACAATGACTATTTAGTTTTTTGTCATTTTATATGTAGAAATAATCAGCTTTTTCTCACACTGTTTGCTTTTTTAGAAATCAACTTGAAAACATAACCTAAAACCAAATCTAACCTTGATGTAGGTTTGGCACCGCATTGAGTAATACATATGTAATACATTTTTTATAAATTTTATATTATCAAGAATAAGAGTATAAGCTAATTAACTGAAGAAATTCTAAAATCATCAAAATAATCATACTCATACCCAACACATTTTGGTATAAATTACATCTTTTTTTTTAGCTATTACCATATGTATGAATACAGTTGATGTATGACCTAATATATTCGTGAAAATGTTCGCCCTATATTATTTGTCATCTGTAAACGTCTGTAGACGTATAATTAACCGTGTTTATTATACGTCTATATTATATTTATAGTTGTGGTATTTTTATACGAATACACTTTGGTATCTGATTGGTATTGTGACGAAAGTCTAATTTATTTTTGGTTTATTTATTTAAAAACACACTATTTACAATTTATTTCAGACGTACTATTTAATTTATATAATACTTAGACACTAACTAACAATTCTAATTTATTTCTTACACTTTAACTTTTCATTACAATGTTCTATATTCCACTAAACTCGGCGCCGATACGTCGGCTATTTATATTATTCCAACTCCGCTACTGGAAGACACTAGAGGCTCTCGAACATTCCTTTTCTATGACTAAACGGCACTTTCCGCCGTTCCAGCTGTTTCTAGTGCATCAGCGGCAGGCGTTCCTAACGCTCCGTCGCCTCGAGCACGAGTCGGTTGCCATTTGAAGGTCGAGCCTACACAGGGTAGGCTTTAAGGATTTCATGACAGTATAAAAGACGTTTTTTATGTACTATGTTATACGTATGAATACCGTTGATATGCTACTCAAAATATACGTGAAAATGTCCGCGCTATAGACGTTTCTAGTTTGAACGGAAATGACCTACTTAAGAAACATTTTTTTTATAACATTATCTATAGAAAAATATTTAATTTCAAAAAATAAACAATACAATTCTAAATGACAAACTCAACAGGGTCTTAGTCATCACTTTGATGTGTTGTTCCAGACGTACCATAGCAATGTTTAAGACAGCCTTGTAAGCCACATTTAATAGTTTGATCTGTCAAATCGCTTGGTAGGTAGTACACCATCATTCCTAGGTATGCTTTATGACTTCTACCATATTATAAAGGTCATATCAGTGTTAAAAGAAATCAAAAATAACCACCGTAACAATACAATCTTTTAATGGTTGCTTATCACAGCCTATCTGGTTAATTTTAATGGCAACTGGGTTCCTTAGAAGATATTTTATAATGACCATGATCGGTAGAATTCCTAACGTTTACTCTGCCGATGCAGGTAATGCATATTTTCTGCAAAAAGGAATTATATCCACAGCCAGGGCTATTTTCGACATTTTATGAAATAAAAATCAACTGACGAATAAAATATGGAAAATGAATGTGATAGGAATAAATAGATGGCCTAAAAA